TGGGGGCAATATGCTGACTCTCTGTAAACCGCTTAGAGAGGCCTGAAAGGCCTATGAAGCGGTATATAAGTCTACTGCTATTGCTATTGGTCATGCGCAAATCATCACTTACCAAATATTGCCATTTGCATTCCTTCGGGAAATGGGGGATATGTGGGATTGTTATTGACGGCATGGACAGCTGCAAAAAAAAGGGGGGAGGGAAGAAAAGCCATCAGAGGTACTCTCAGTTAATGACCATTCATTCAGTGACGGTAGAAACGGCATTGAACAAGAAGCTTACGCCCATCCTCCAAACTGCATCCTTTTCAAGGTCCCTGCAGTCTTGTGACTGCGATTTGGGTGCCTAGCAACCAGCTCATCCTTCTGACACTTGCAGCATCCCGTAGTCACATGACATGATCTTGATTGCCCGTTTCCCACAAGCAAAGTCAATGGGGAAGCGGGCAGGAAGTCACAAGTTGTAATCATGTGAGGTCCTCACTTAATGATAGCAACCAAGTAAACCACGGGGACCTGCCCAGACAGTCACCAGAAGTCCACACAGATAGGAAAGCATCAAAAACAAAGCAGTCGCCTCAATAAATTAGCATTCCTGGAATTCTTATGGTATCTGTTTCCTGATTTGGCCTAGTTAAGAGAGTTGACATCATTCTTGAAAGACTGCCCCCTTTAAAGTCAAGGTTGGGTCACTACGAATGTCTGTTTACGTTTCCCAAGCCTGAATTCTCCTTCTTCTTCTTCTTGACAGCTCACTCATTTTTTCACCAAGGTTATTTCCTCATTCTCTTACAGCATCCCATCCAACATCTGGAGAGCCCTCTAACTAAACTGTTTAAGTAGTGCAATATAGATTATCCATGCATCTATCTGTCTGTCTGTGCCTCACACAAACACTGCATTATCAGCGTGTGAGAGGATCTATTGATTGCAATAGTAAAGGTGATTTTGTATCAAACGTTGCAAGAATATCCATCTGTATCAGTGGTGGGTTTCAAAATTTTTTCGAACCTACTCTGTGGGTGTGGCCTCCTTTGTGGGAGTGGCTTGCTGGCCATGTGACCTGGTGGGAGTGGCTTGCCAGCCATGTGTCCCCCCCTCTCTCCTTTCTTTTGTGTCTCTGTGCCTTTTTCCTTTTTCCTTTCATCTCTCTCACTTTTTCTTTCTTTTTTTCTTTTTTCTTTTTTTCTTTTTTCCTTTCTTTCTCTTTCTTTCTCTGTGTGAGTCTCTCTCTCTCTCTCTCTCTGTGTGTGTGTGTGTATGTGTGTGTGTGTGNCGCGGTTTTGTCGATGCATTGTTGTGGGCACATTTATGACATCGCGGTTTTATCACCATGGTTTTATTGTGCGCGCATTTGTCGAGTCACGCTTTAAGTTTATTACGGCATACAAGCTATTTAAGTATTGCAACAGCAACTTTGATCAAAGGTTTGGATTTTTCAAAATCTGATGAATTCTTATTTGGTCAAAATAAAATAGAAGAGAAATATCTATGGAACAAAACAAGCTGGTATATTTCATAGGAAATTATCATTACGATGATTCCTTTCAAACATAACTTCAAAAGGGACTTATAACAAATTCATAATTGTTTTTTTTTTTCATACATTGCAGAAAATTGGATAACTGCTGAAAATCTTAGGGCTGGTATTTTTTGGCTGAAGATTTGATTGTGGCGTTTCATCCTGGCTCCCCTGTTGTCTTCCCTTTCTACTGAAAGGAAGACAATAATTGGTCAGAGGTCACTTTATAGGACAAATTTTTATTAAAGTTTAGAGTGAAAGATTCTATCTTTGCCTGTGGTGCTTTTCTGAACAGAGGTCTCCATATTATGTGGATAATAATAACCCACATTTAGAACTTCTCAGCGGAGAAAAAAATAATCTCAAAATGAAAGCTGTCCTTTCCACTCATTTCCCCCCCACAGAAATTGGTTTACATTTTTAGAAAGCAAGCAAAAGGAACAGAAATGTATTTTTTTACCCTTAGATTGCCTGGCAAATCCTGCTGACATAGTACACATTAGTCCTGGGAATCGCAATTGCTGGGGGCTTTTTATTCATATTCAGCTGTCCTAGACAGGAAAAGCAATAATGCTAGCCAAGTTATGGATGAAGGCCAAAGTCCAACGCAGCATTTCCAAGACTATCTTTTCAGCTGGAGTTTGTCACGCAAGAAGGGCTGATAGCAGAGAGATGGCAGTAAGCAGGAAGCAACATGGTGATTGTCATAAAATATCTTATAACCTAATTTCACTGACTCTAGAGTATTATGACTTTATCATGTTATTTCTATAATGTCTAATTATTTGGGGTTATTTTTTTTCCATTTATATACTACCATATTGTACCGGAATTTAACAAGGGAGCCAATGTGGTTGCACTTCAGTCAAAAGCACTGAGGTGCTTCTGGGTTGAAAGAATTAGCTGGTGATATCACTATTGCCCTGGGGACACTCCGTTGGGGGATCCTTTCGTGTCCCCAGCAGGANGGAGGAGCTACAGTATTAGTTTCCCTTCAGTGTGGGCCTTTTCAGAGGCTTGGGGCTATATCCATGTGTGCCACAATTTTATTAACACAACTTTGCTTACATCCTTTCTTTAGGTATTTACTGCATATACGTATAAACACTACAGGAAAGGACTCTTGACACAACCAGGCTACATATTCCTCCCTGTGGTTATATAAAGAGGAAACCCTAACAATCAATGGAATAATGTTTTATGCAACCCAGCTAGCAGCACCATGTGAAAGCTCCTAACATCCTTTGACAACATCAGACCAACTCCTGGTGTGAATGGGGCCAACTTGAAAGAGTAAGGGGGTAGGAGTTGTATATGTTTTGGTCTTTGGAACAAAATGGTGCTTTAAACTCATAATGGTTTAAAGAACCCATTTGATCCGTTATCTCTTGACATTAGTTTGCCACTATTGACTGAATATGAATAGGAGGTTTTAAAGAAAGAATTTGAATTAGTAATAATCTGACTTTCTGAAAAGATCAGATTAAAATTTGAATTTGGACCCATTCTACCTCACAGTGCCCCATAAAATGATTTTTTTAAAAATCCATTACATTCCACATGGGTAGACTGCTTTCATTTGGATCTATTAATGCTTCTTTTTTCCATTTGTTTCACAGACACCCAATATAATCAATCATTTTATCATCCATCCATCCATCCATCCATCCACTTTACAGTTTATTCCTCTTATATTTCAAGTTGCCATTTTTATGGTGGTTGCTATGCAAGTTATGTATTAACCTCTACCCCAGCTTTGGTCAATTGAAGCCTTCATATTATGTGTTTATTCCCAAGGAAAGGAGATATTCTTTTTTTCTCCCAACTATGCACAAGGAATCTTTTCAACTGATGACCAAGATGCAAACATTTTATATAGCAACACTGAGAGCCCCCACGCATTCTTGAAAAGTCTCATTTGCTTGTAACAGATTCCTGCCCCGTCTATTCAATCATTTTCCCACATACTTGGTTTTACATCATCATCCTTCCCTCTTAGGCCCTATGGTTTGGATGTCTTCTGCAGCCCTCAAAACGAAACCACCCCCCCCCCTTGCCCTCCCGCAACCCACTCACATGCAGACAATCAAGCAAGCAAGCTGAGCAAAAGATTTCAGAAGGAAAATATTAAACAATTACTTGGGATTTTGGTTGGAAACAGAGACTAACAAACACACGAGGTTTTAAAAGAGCAGCCAGTTCCAGGTAGCAAATTCTGGTAAGAAAGAAGGACAAGAGAGACAAATGGACAAAGGATTCAAATGACCACAAGAAAGAAAGACCAGGAGGTGGGAGATCTTTACGGGGAGGATAGGCAAGAAAACAAAATAGATGAAGCAGACTAAGAATTAAATGTAGAATCCTTACTTCAGTGTGACTGGGGAGCTTCACCCTAGTCTGTGGAAAGAACAGTACTATTGGTATGATTGCAGCATCTAGAAAACCCATGACAGCAATACAACAACACCTCTTCCCCACAACCACGCTGACATCAGATGTCATCTCCTCAATGACCACGATGGCTGGGACAATAGAGTTACTGACACACCTGGACAATATCAGATCTGGAGGAAAGCTTTTTTTATAGTAAATTTCATGATCACTTTATGGAAGATTGATCTGCATTGCTATTTTGAATGGGTGGAACAGAAATTAAGAAAAATTAAACCAGAGTTGCGAGAATTTTCATGACATATCTGCCAAAACGACTCTTTTGTTTGAATTTAACGATAAACTTTAGATCTGATTTCCAACAGATTAATTATTATGAATTCATGGGGATACTTTTGAAATTTCTCTCCTCGATGGTTTTCATAGTCTTTATTCATGATCCAAAATGGATCATTGATAGTCCATTGTTCTAAATTTTAAAAATTTCCATCTCTGTAGGAGTCTTCTGTTAATTTCCTAATTGTCTGCTAAACTTCTCCTTTTGGATATTTAACCCAGACCAGTCAGAATTTGGGTAGTATCTCCCATTAAAATTATGATAAGAACTAATTCAGTTTTTGGAATATAGGCAGGCTTAAGACTCATGTATCAACTTTACACATAACATGCTTAAATCTCTGCCCTAGGAAATCATCTAATTTAGGGCCAAATTATGACAATGTCAAAACAGATTTAAATCCTCACAGATTTAAATAAGTGACAATTAATAGGAAGCAAATGATGTTTTCAATAAACACCATTGATTCGATCTTTGTTTTCTGGGTCAAGATCAGAACAGCAAATATATGGATCTTATTCAAATCACAACTCTTTGCTTTGAACATCTGGTTATAAATAAGGGAATCTCCAGCCTCTTAATTCCTCTGAGGAAAGAAGGGTGGATTTTGATAGAGCTGTGCATACTTCAGCAGTGATTGACAATTGGTTCACACACAGCATACTCTTAATTAATTAATACCCTCAATAAGCATAAATCAATTTACAGAAGAAAAATCAATGAATCCATTTACAACAAATGCATAAAAAAATCCAACAAAATTAAAAATACCACCAGAAATTTGAATTTTGGGAATGAATTTATCTATCTATCTATCTCAGCCCTGGCAACTTTAAGATGTGTGGACTTCAACTCTCAATCAATCCAGCATGGTTGGCTGGGGAATTCTGGGAATTTAAGTTCACTCATTTTAAAGTTACTAAGGGTGAGAAACAGTTTATCTGTGGTATTTAGTACATTTAGTTGGGAGCAAGACCTACTGAACTCACCAAGGCTTATTTCTCAGCAGAGCCAAGATTTCATTGCATATACTCTGTGCACAATGTACACACAGCACTCATATTATGCTCTTCTTTTATCAGGCAATCTTTCCAACATGGACTGATCTAGAATGATGTGGAAAAGTTGTCCCATTAAAAATTTCCACAGGCCTGTCTTTTGTTCCATGGACAGCACTGGTTAAAATTGATAGGTGAGTGGCTGGAATGCAAGACAAACTGATCCGATCTGTTTACCAGAGATGTATGGAGGTACATATCGTGCATAACAGTGGCATCTCCAAGTTAGCTGCTACCTCCATCCCTGTTATCTCTCCTCTGTCAAAATTAAGAGGATAAGGAACCTTGAGGTAACATTTTTGGAGTTCTACTTCCCTTGGCATTACAGATTGACTATCTGTAACACATATCACATTATGCAAGCTGCTGCTGCACAGTATAGACACATAAAGGTCCTCTAGAACAGGGCTCTCCAACCTTGGCAACTTGAAGCATGGAGGACTTCAACTCCCAGAATTCTGGGAGTTGAAGTCCTCCAGGCTTAAAGTTGCCAAGGTTGGAAACTCCTGCTCTAGAAGACAAAATCCATGGTACTACACTAAACAGCCCCTCCCCAGACAATCAAATCAAAGACACACAACAGTATATATCTTTACAACATAAACTATGAAACACAATGGTCAACCCTTACTGATGTCAAAACCGCAACTGATTCCTTAAACATTTCAGCTGAACCGGTGAGTCGGTGATAGAAGTTAATGTCAGTTGGGCCTTTTGCTACAGACAGACAAAAGAGTGAGAATGGCTCATTACCTTCTCAGTTCCCTTGCCATGCTTTCTTAAGAGGGTTCCCTGTAGAAACAATATCACAAATTGATCAATATGGAAGAAGAGGAGAAACATGTCTAGATAGGGGTATCAGAAGGAAAAAGGAGTCAGGGAAGGAAGGGGAGATATTCAAGCTCCATTACCCTGGGATTATCTCTAGAGAACAGCATCATCAGAAGATATAGGCTAAACCTGGCACTGAGTCTGCATTTTGCCCCCAAAGAATCACTTCTCATTTGAACAGCATCCCAGATTGGTCAGAAATAGATATAGGTCACAAGAATTGACTGATGACACCCAGCCCTAAAGAAAATATTCTTGCTTGCATAGCTGGACTACTGCAATGTCCTCAACAGAAACCTGCTTTGGAAGACTACCCATACATTACAGTTAGTTTAAAATAGGGGAGCCTTCTTATTGATGAATGGAGTCATGTAATGCCATTGTGATAAACCACGCAGTGTGGTCAACAGAATTCTAGTCGAAATATTGGTTTTGAGCTATAAAGCCCTTGGCCCCTGGATATCTGCAAGTAGAGTCAACCCATCTGCTTTGCATTTCATAGCTTTTAAGAGTTTGGAGGCAGGGGGCAAAAATATTGTTTCTTGTTTATGGCACCTTGAGGACATGTTAGCACCTGATTTTTCAACACCTTCAAAAGAAAATGTGAGCAATGATAGATTTGTGCCCTTGGATATTCCAATACTGTTGTGCTCATATGTACTGTTTGGGTTTGGATTTCATATTGCTTTTATTGTTTTATTATGTTACCATATTAACATTAGCTAACTGGATCCCTCTTCCTTTTTTCTTCCAAATTCTACAACTGTTAGAATTATCAAAATTCTGCCCCATCATTGTATAGCCGTGTATAATATGAATGAAGCTGTCATGCCTTTACTAGTTCTGTTCACACAATATGCTTAAAATGGCAACCTAGTAGATATCTTCAAATGTGTTAATCTTGGTTAGTTAGTTAGTTTTAATGTTGGCTTGGTCTTGGTATGTATCTGTCATATATACTATTAAGCCTAGCCTACCTGATAGTTCATCTATTGTATGAATTCAGAAAATGCATTTATTTAATGATCAAATACTGTATTCTATATAAAGGTAAAATACAAGTTATTTATGTTTATTTGCCAATTCCACTTACCAAATCCATTGGTAATATGTAAAATTGCTTATCGGGTAAACCATTGTGATAATGGTTATCTTTCAATGATTGACCTCTGTTTACACTGAAGATTATGATTAAGATTAAGACCTTGGCCGCTAAATCAGATCAAAGACCAACCTTACTCAATAGTCTCTTTTACTAGAGACCAACCAGTTCATTTTGAGAAAACCAATAGTTACAGATGGAAGCAATCATATTGGTCTTCAGATGGGTGATATAAGGGTATTATACTTGCAGATGTAATTTGGGATGTTTCCAAAGATCCTTTGGCCAAATATAAAAACTAGATTTCAGAGCAAATGACGTAGCAAAGATGGGATGGAAAAAAAACTAACCAACTTCTGGCTTCTTGGTGCTACTATATTGTTGCTCCTGCCACAATCAATTGTCTTCCTAAACTTACTGCCACCACTTTGCAAACCCAGAAGTCCAGTAGGGGTGGAGGAGGAAAGTGGCAATCCGCATTTATTTCCAATAAGCACATGGATCAAAGGAGCTGGAATACTATTTGTAAGAGATGAGAAAGGGCTGCTGAGAAACAGCATACTGATTCAGGTGAGTTAAAAACCTGGCATCTACACTGCACAAACTATTAAATAGTTTTTTTGTGTGTTTTAGATGTTTGGTTAATGTTAGTGTGTCAGTGTATTGATTTAGTGTTTTGTGTGATCCTGGAAAATGGTTTAGTTTAGAAATTGTGTTAAGCATTTTTGTGTGAACATAACTTCTGTCTGTATACCTTCTCACTCCTTCCATCAGAATTTCAGAGAAAGGACAGAGATTTAGCGGGATTTGGAACTTTTTGTGGGAAGTGTTGCGGTGTTCTTTAGCAGGACAGATCTGTAGAAATCTATAATCTAAAAGTTTGTCTAGGTATTTCCTTAGATACAACTGAATTAAAATTGTTTCATCTGATGTCCTCTTGATATATTTAGTAATAATCTACTTTAATATTTGCTATCTTGGCTAGGGAATGGTAGGAATTATAATGCAACATACCTGCAGACCACCTGGCTAGAGAAGGTTGAATTTACAGAATTATAGCTAAGGAAGGGATGGGCACCTTAAATGCTTCATGTAGGATCTGTTAAAGGAAATTAGAAGGTCAGGGCATTGAGAAGGGACAATGCTTTTGTCTGTCCCTTTGGGAAATAATGTGAAATCACTGAAATGATACAGTCTTCAAAGGAGGATGGGATTAAACCTTAACTCTAACCAACTGTGATATACCCAGGTTAGTATAAAAACTGTGCAAATGTGACCTCTTGACCAGGAAGGCCTGGCAATATGAGTGGATCCATGTACTAAAATGTGTTTAGGTGTTTGGGGGGGTGTTATTTGATGACAGTGTGTGCACTTTGTTGATATGTCCCCTCAGCCTATGTGCCTTGGAAGAGTTAGTAGCTAAGATCCCAAAATATAAAACAGACTTAGCTAACTTAATGTCTACTAGATGCATGCTATTTAGAGATGGGCTGCATGTTGGCTAGGAATGCTGGGCACTGCACAGCCACCAACTCCAGAGGAAATCAGGTTGGGGATGGTAAGTCTCAAATATTAACTCTGAAGAGCTTGCATGACATAAAGTGTGGTAGACATGTCCTCTTTTCATGACATGTCCCTACTCTAGGGCCATAGCAGAGTAATGTATCTGTAGTAAGGTGCCCACCACAGACTATTTGAGATCTGTTGTCTTCTTCATCCAAGGCTCCCCCAAGTCTTTATCTTCCCATATGCGAAGAACATTTTCAACAGACCAGTTGTTTCTTCACAACTCCAAAGAAGGTAAGAGGAAGGGAGACTGAATTTGAAGAACGCACTTCTCAAAAATGGACTTCCTCACCCTTCCTGTGAAAGTCTCACAGGCAGACTTGAACGCCTGGTTCTGGTTACTCAATGGCAAGAGCCAACCTTCCCTCCTCCCATCTTCCCAGGAAACAAACCTCATTATAGCTTCCGACAGTGAGGGACAGACTTTCCACCACAACGTCATAGCTGGCGCGAAGCAGCTCAGCAACAAGGGGGAAGAGGGCACAGAACAAGAAAAGGCAAAGGCACTGGGAAGGGGCAGGAGCAGATAGATAAGGCACGGGGACAAGGTAGGCAGCCACCACAGAACAACAGAAAAACCAGCTCAAATTACTTTGGGTAGGAAAGATACTACACGCAAGGCACATGGACAGGGCGGGGGGGGGGGAGAGAAGAGAGAGACAAATATGAGAGACAGGGGTGACCTGCCGTACTTACAATCATCTGCCAAGGTGAGAGGAGCGGAGCAATTAGAAAGAATAACCATGAGTAGGCCATCATCTTCATATCCATTGTGTCCCCACCCAACTTATTCTTACCCCCACCGCTTCCCACAAATACAACAGCCCCTCCTAAAACACAACCAGAGAACTGATGGGGACATCCCTGTACAATACAGAAGGGTTGTCCCATCAGAGAATATCACAGATATGAAGAACGACTGGCAGCTGTAGAAAAACCACGTTGATTAAAGTCAGTTGAGTTAAGCTTGAAGTTCCACACCTCCGTTAATTCAATGACACAATTCATCAGCTTAAGGGCAGGGACTCAACTTTCATGCTTATTTTAAATTAGGGTGGCATTTTTAGAAAGACCATTTGAAAGCAGACGTGGATATTGAAAAGTATGTCCTCACCTGAGGATATCCTGGGGAAAATCAACCAGTTAGAGGAGGGGCATGATGGGACTTGGCCAGTCAATGCACAACTAAATTCTTGGCTTGTAAAATTTTATTACTGAGTATTCATCAACTCAGCTTTAGAAAGAAATTGATGAAGCGAATTTTTTTCTATGCATTTACAAGAAGGTTGAGTTGTTTTTCATGTATTTGTAGAGATGCAACAAAAGTATATTCCTTAGCAAAGTCCATCTTAGGTGCAAAGAAACTTTCAGTGAAAGTGAAATGAGAAGAATGCAAAGGAGGAATGAGATGAGTCACATCTAGCTTTCATTCCTTCCTTTTCTAATCTCTCACCTTCCAGCTGTTTTGGATTATACTTTCCAGGCTCTCTTACATCACAACACAACATATCCCAAAACTCAGTCTGGCTGAGGATGAAGAAGTTGTTGAATGTTGAATGTTGATTTTATTTATATGCTGCCCTTTTCCCCTGAAGGGGACTCAACTCAACCAGGGAAGGGGGATACAAACAGAAAATTAAAACGACACAAAAACAATACATAATTTAAAATACACAACAGTCATACCAATTCGAGACGGGGGGCAATAGTTCTTTAGCCCCAGGCCTGTCTGAACAGCCAGGTTTTAAGGGCTTTGCGGAAGGCCTGGAGGGTGGGCGGAAGGCC